GTAGAGCAGTGTTATACAAGTGGTCAAACTAAGAAGATCAGAATGGTTTCTTCTGACTTTATAATCTATGTATTCCCATAGTGAAGGGAGTGTATATGCCATTTTCATAACAATTCTTCAGGGCTTACATAATACCTTTAAACAAACATAAAAAGGGGGAAGGAATGCAAGCAAAAATAGAGAAAGAATGGGTTAAAGAATATTTCAATAAAGTAGATGTATTCAAGACAGCAGGGCCTGATGAAACTCATCCTAGAATACTTAAGGAACTGGCTGAAGCAATCATGGAACCATTAGCCATTATCTTTGAGAGAACACATGGAGGATGGGTGAGGTTCCAGAGGACTGCAGAAGAATAAACATAGTACCTATCTTTAAAAGGGGGGAAAATAGAGGGCCCAGGGAACTACAGACCTGTCAGCCTAAGTTTGATACCTGGAAAGACAATGGAACAGCTTATTGAACAATCAACTTAACTGTATTATCCTGTGCTTACAAGGAAAAGCCACCATGGGATTTGTCAAAAACAAACCATACCGGACCACTCTAATTTCCTCTTTGACAGAGTTACTGGCCTAATGGATGGTGGGAAGCAGGAGACATGATATATCTTGAGTTTAGAAAGGCTTTTGATACAATACCCCATGACACTCATAAGCAAACTAGTGAAACATTGGTCTAGATGAAGTTACTGTAAATTGGGTGCACAAATGGTTGAAAGACTGTACTCAGAGTAATTATAAATGGTTTGCTGTGAAACTGGGATGGTGTATCTAGGGGAGTTCCATGGGGGTCAGTCCTTGGTCTGGTACAGTCAGTATTTTCACTAATGACTTTGATAATGGAGTAGAGAGTATGCTTATAAAATTTTCAGATTACACTAAACTGGGAGAGGTTGCAAGCACTTTGGAGCACAGGATTACAATTCAAAACGACCTTGATAAATTGGAGGATTGGTCTGAAATCAACAAGATGAAATTCTATAGCAAGTGCAAAGTACTACATTTAGGAAGCGGGGGGGAAAATCAAATGCACATCTACAGAATAGGGAGTAACTGGCTTGGTGGTAGCACTGCTGGATCACAAATTGAATGAGAGTCAACAACGTGATGCAATTGCAAATTGAGACAATATCATACTGGCAGGGCCGGCTCTAGGATTTTTGCTGCCCCAAGCAAAAACAATTTTGGCCACCCCCCTGCCCCATTTTTTCTTACCCCACCCCCGGCCCCGCCTCAACTCCGCCCTTTCCCCAAATCCCCAGCCCTGCCTCCTCCCCCCAGGCTCTCAAGCCTAGGAGGGAGGGAGGGAGAGGGGAGAAGCAGCGTGTGCGCCGCGGCTACTCGGGGTCTCCCCCTCCCTCCAGGCTCTCAAACCTGGGAGGGAGGGGG